AAAAAACAGAGCCGGATCTGAGGGGAGTTTTTTGAAACATTTGAATGGTTCCCAACTTGTAGAGGCCCATTTAAAAAAAAATTATGTATTAATTTATTGAAAATATGTTTATTTAATGGAAAAAATGAAAATTAAATGAGATAGTAAAAAATATTTTTGTGAAATCTATTATTTTGTGAGACTGTGTGATAAAAAATAAAAATTTTGAGTATATTTTTCATAATTTTATTCAAATAAATAGACATGCATATATTTTTGTGATTTTTTTGAAAAAATATATTTAAATTAAATGTTAATTTTTTTTTTGTATGAGACCTCGAGAATCTCATATCCGACTTGGGAAAAAGGCAAAATTGAAAAAGAAGAGAGAGGTAGACATGTTCAGAAATGTATACCTGTGATACACAAGGTTCGTATCTAATCAAATTAATCACATGCACATTAATCTTGATATCTATCATATTTTACCTCTTCGTTGAGGTTAATCGTTTATCCTATATTATCATTTCTTTTCATGTAATGGTTGTACCATCTGATGGGTTAATTCTAGGCCTAGGCAAAATATTCGTTTTGAATGGAATCAAATCGAAATAATCCGTCCGAACTAAGTAAATCCAATTATCGAATGGATTTTTATCTTAAAATTTTGAATATCGGTTCTGTACAGATATTCGATACGGATATTATCCGAAATACCCAAAAATAAACCAAATTTTATCGAATTTCATCGAATTTGAAATTGGAAACTCATTTTTAAGGTGTGGGAGTGTTAACTGAAATCTAAATTACATGAACTATCTAAATTATCATACAATCGAATCAAAATATAATAATTCAGATATAATATAGTTCTCATAAATTTTTAATTTATCCGGACCGAACCGAACAAAAATTTGTCCAGTTCGAATTCGGTACCTAGTTTCACATACGTGTATTATTCGATATCCAAACCGAATCGAACGAAATATCCGAATGTGTATGCCTAATTAATCTCTTTGATTAAGTTGGCAGAAAACAAAAAAAAAAGTAAATTAATACTATAAATTTTTGGTTTGATTGGAGGGTTTGTTTTGGTCGATCTAAAAGACCATATGGCTTTTCGATTGTAATATTGGCCAATAGATAAACCAGCTTGACCCACCAAAGACGGAGATCTCAATTTTCCACCTCACGACCAAAGGATTACTCAATCTCTGTCCGTAGATTCCTTTCTCCATATCCCACCGTCCGATTTCAATCCAACGGTCATCGATCAGACTC